ATGTCAGAATCAGGGGCAGGAGGGTGGGGGGTTAGAGCTGGGAAGGCCCCTAGAGGGTAGAATGGTGGAGCTGAGAGTCACCTCAGAACACCCACTGTCAGAAGGAGGGAAGGGTCCCTGGAAGCTGCCTGGTCCAGCCCCGTCCCCATACTCTAGAACTGGGGTTCAGAGGAGAGAAGGGACTTGCCCCGCAGACATAAGGCACAAAGCAGGAGGGCTAGGATTTGAAATCCAGTCTTCTTTCTAGTTGTCTGGTTTCCTCCTATGCTGATAAAAATGCTGGTTCTGCATTCGGGGCCTGAGGCATAGGAGGAAACCTTATAGAAAGGAGCTTCAAACTAGAACACAAGCGACTGAGCAAAGCTCGACCTTGAGCTCTCTGAATAGCACGGTCGTGAGCGCTTCTCAATTGCCATCAATGATACTGTGTTATTATGGGGGTGAAGAAAAGGGAAAGGAGCTTCCCCCATGACTCCCTGCTGGCTTCGGGGCTCCCGCAGCGTGACATTGAGTCAGTGAACACTCCAGTGGTCAGATGGAAGGAGGCAGCCTGCGACGCCTGCAAAAGCAGTAAATTACATGGAAGATGTGTGCTTCCATGAAGCTCTCCGGCTTCATCTTGCAGGCGTCGGCCAGAGCATCCCCAGAGCGGTGCCTGGTGCCCGGGATGGGCTCACCTTCCACTCAGGACAGGACTGACAGACAGGCCTGAGAGGCCTCAGAATAGAATCCTACGTGGGTCTGAGTGACTGCAATGACTTGGGATCCTGCAATTACCTGTCACAGGCCTAATTATGGCAACAGAGACTGAGGTCAGGTTGAGAAGGGGGAGGCCCCGAGTGGGGAGGGCTGATCTGCTCTACGTGTCTGAGGACAGAAGCCTGATAAGTCAGCTTAGCCCACATGCAATAGTAGATTGGCCCTTGGGCTAGCTTCTAAACTGGACTTTGGTCTGGCCCTACAACTTTCTGGATTCAAAGGCAGCTTCTGCTGCTTACTTGCTGTGTGACCTCAGGCAGGCTGCTTCCCCTCTCTGGGCTCCAGATTCCTCATTCATAAAATGAGGGGGTAGGACTAAGTCATATCTAAGATTTGTTCCAGGCTTGAATCTATGAATGAATGCATGTGTGAGTGAATGAATGAATGAATGAAAAAAAAAGTGCTTATTAAGCACTCACTATGTACTGAGCAATACTATCTATGATCTTAGGAATGTTACTGATCCGACAATGAAGTGAAAAGGGAAGGGAGGGGCAGTTAGATGGCGCAGTGGATAGAGCACCGGCGCTGGAGTCAAGAGGACTTCAGTTCAAATCCAGCCTCAGACACTAGCTGTGTGACCCTGGGCAAGTCACTTAACCCCAATTGCCTTAAAAAAAAAAAGAGAGAGAAGGAAGGGAATGGGCATTTATATAGTGACTGCCATGTGCCAGGCACTGTGCTAAGTGATTTTTACAAGAAAATTTCCTAGCTGTGTGACCCTGGGCAAGTCACTTAACCCCAATTGCCTAAAAAAAAAATTCTTCCTGAGGGGTACAGGAGGTGCTGAGCCCAGGGCTAGCTTGGGTACCTCTGGGCATGTTTCTGGGCCATTTACCCATCCATCTCAGCTTCCCACTCCCTGTCAAGCTGGCTAGTTCCTGGCTTATTGTGGAGGCTTTTGGAACAAGGATACCTGAACCCGGCAAGGAGTATTCCTCATTTGAAATAATAGAACGTTAGGCTAGAAGGTACACAGGAACAGAAGTTTAGAGCCAAAACGGATCTGAGAGGTTATCTGGTCCACCGAGCACTCAATTAATGAGCACTCATTCACCACATCCTATGTGCTAAGCTTTAGGAATGCAAGGACACAAATGAATTCATTCCAGCCCTCGAGGAACCCACCTTCATTCAGAAGAAACAACGTGGATACCTCCAAGTATTTATTATAAAATCAATACGAGGTAATTTTACAGGGGATGCACTAGACGCTGGAGGGACCAGCAAAGGCCTCATGGAAGTAGTGGTGTTTGAACTGAGATTTTAAGGAAAATGTAGAGATTTTAGAAGAAAGAGGTGAAGAGGGGAGGGCATTCCAGGCATGGGGGACAGCCAATGCAAAGGCATGGATGTGGAAAATGAGGCCATATGTGAGGGATAATAACAAGGCCAGACTGGCTGGATGGAAGAGAGCATGCAAGGGAGTGATGTGTGATTATCCTGGCAAGGTAGGTTGGAGCCAGGTTGTGAAGGGAAACCTGTTTTCGGGTGAGGAAATCAAAGGCCACAGGGATTAAGTGACTCCTTCAAAGTGCCACAAGCAGAAAGTGTCAGGGCTGGGATTCACACCCAAGGGCTCTGACTACAGGTCTAACACCCTCCCCTACATCACTTAGCACAACTCTCATTTTACAGGGGAGGAAACTGAGGCCCAGAAAGGCAAAGGGACAAATCAGGGAAAAAGCGGCCGAGCCAGGGCTCTTCCCATCATGGTCAGGGTTCTCCTCACGAATCCTTGCCAGGCAAAAGCCAAGCTTCATAGCAAGCGGAAGTGAAGGTGAGACCATCAGTAGTGTCGGGCGGAGGCCAGGCCCTGCTACAGCAGCCTTATGTAAGTCAGCAGGGCCCCGGGCTAACAGCTCCCATGCTCCCTGGGCTTTAATGGCCCAGGCAATCGCTGACCTTGGTGTTCTGCTGGAATGCCTTGGCAGAGCAGGTGCAGTAACACAATGCTCTGTGTTACATAAGCCCCAACATAAATGTTGCATGCTCTACAGCCCGGCTGGCCTGGATGGAGCTGAAGGGCCCCGGCACGGAGCTGGGCCCACCCTGGAAAAGGGAGGGAGGAATGGGGGGCAGGGGAAGGAGAGGCAGAAAGGAGCAGGGAGAAGGAGAGGGAAAGGGGGAAGGAGGAGAAAGAGAGAGGAGGGAGGGAAAGAGAGAAGGAGAAGAAGAGAGAGATGGGGGTGGGAAAATAGAGAGAGAAGAGGAGAAGAGAGGGAAGAGAAGAGAAGAAGGAGAAGGGGAAAAAGAGAGGAGAGAGGGAGAAAGGGGGGAGGGAGAGAGAGGAGAAAGAAGGAGGGAGGGAGAAGGGAGAGAAAGAGAGGCAGGGAGGGAGAGAGAAGGGAGGGGCAGTGAGGAGAGAGAGAAAACAGAAGAGAGGGAAAAAGGAAAAAACAAGGAAGAGAGAAAGAGGAAGAAGGGAAAGGGAGAGATAGGAAGAAGATACAACATAGAAGAAAGGAGAAACAGAAGGACAAAGACGAGCGATGGTGAGAGAGGGAGGAGAGAAGGAAGGACAGGGTGAGGGAGAGTGAATAGTGAGACACAGGGTAAGGGAGGTGAATGGAGAAGGGGAGAGACCAGGGAACGGAACAGTGGTGGAGAAATTAAGAGAGACATAGACAGGGGCAAATGAGGAGAAAAGAGAGTCAGACAGAGAGGGAAGCCAGAGGGAGGAGAACCAGAGAGCCCATGATAAGGACATGCCAGGAGAAAAGGAAGGGCAGAAAGAGAAGAGGACCCTGGGCTCACAGACTTAGAGACCATTAGTTCAACCCCCTCATTTTACAGATGGGGAAACTGAGACCCATAGAAGTGAAGTGACTTGGCTAAGGTTACACAGGTAGCATGTAGGAGAACAAAGAATGATTAAGAGCAGTCTATACTAGCCATGTGACCCTGAACAAAGGTCAGTTCTGTGAGATGATTTCCTCAACTGGAAATGAAGGCTTGGTCTAATGACCAATGACAAGATTGCTGTGAGCATCAAATGATATAACGCGTGCGAAGAGCTTTTCAATCACCAATATGCCATCTAAATGCTAGTTATTATTATCATTCTTACCACTATTATCACATTTGTTGATAACACGTGACTAGAGGACAATAACGTGGCAGAACAATGTAAAAACTCAAGGGACTGGGAGCCAGGAGACAATTTCTCCTCAACCCTGAGCTGCCACTTACCCCTTGGAGAAGTCCTTTCCCCCTCTCTGGGCCTCAGTTTCCCTAGTTATAAAACAAGGGGGTTGGCGAGATCTTTAACGCTCAAATTCTAAAACAAGGGTGGTTTCCATGGCCACCACTAGGTGGTGCCTTGCCCCATAGGGAGCGGTCCCTTTCCTTGTAGTTAAGAGATGTTAATCGTCTCTAACTCATTGATAACTGCAGACTCCTTTAGGGTCCAACCCCTGGGCATAACTCTGTCCTGGGCACTGTGGGGCTCTACAAGGGAAGGAAAAGCGATACTCCCTGACCTCAAGAAGTTTACAATTGAATTAGGATTTTAATTAATATCATTTCCCCCTCTGCCCTCATTTGTATTATTGAGCCTGCCACACATTGCTCTCCCATTCCGTAGAGAAAGTACAAGGAAAACTCCATAAACCTGCACTCATATTATAGTGCCATGACAAGAACTATATTCCGTATTCAGAACCAGGAAGACCTGAATTTTAGTCTCGCCTCTGACACTGATCCGTTGAGCACCCGGGGGAACAGTCACCTCAATCCCACAAGCCTCAATCTCTTTATCCGTAAAATGAGTTGTTGTTGTTGTTCGGTTGTATCTGGCTCTTTGTGACTCCATTTGTGGTTTTCTTGGCAGAGATACTGGAGGGGTTTGCTATTTCCTTCTCCAGCTTATTTACAGATGAGGAAACTGAGGCAAATGGGGTGAAGTGACTTGCCCAGGGTCACACAGCTAGGAAGTGTCTGAGGCTGGATTTGAACTCATGAAGCTAAGTCTTCCTGACTCCAGGCCCGGCGCTCTATCCAATGGGCCATCTCAATGCCCTATAAAATAAGTCTAATAGCCTAAATAAGTCTTTGCACTGCCACTCTCCCAGGGCAGTTATGAAGAAAATTCTGCAGAAAGGAAGGCTGTTGCTATTTACACAGGGTCTGGCAGTTTGCAAAGTGCCTCCCTCACAAGAGGTCTGTGAGCTCATTAGTAAGACTCAGCCAACTTCTACTGGGGCTTTCCTTAGGCAAGGGGGAGAGAATTGCTGTTTGCAGTTTGGTTTGGGGGTGACCTTTGCCGGCTCAGGTCATTAACTGGTTGGACCATCTCCTCATCTGTTTCAGTGGGTCAGGTAAGTGAAGGACCCTCATTAAGCACTCTTTGTTTCTCCTGGATCATCCTCAGACTCACCCTTAACAGAGGGACTGAAAAGATACAGATTAGAACAGAGATCCCACTGGGCAAGACCCAGAGAATAGCAATGTTTCACTCCATTCCTCTCTTCTCTACACTTTACCTCCCTTTTCTCCTTCATTTCCTTATTTGTGAAAGGAGGAGGTTAAATTAGGTTATCTGTGTGTTCTAAGGTCCATTCCAGCTCTGACATTCCATGTTCTAAGGGTCCTCTGAGTTCTGACAAACTGTGTTCTGAAGATCTTTCCCAGCTCTGACATACGTCTATGTTTTAAGACTGCTCTGAGCTCTGACTTTCCATCCTAATGGTCCTCCAAGTTTTGACATACTGTGGTCTAAAGATCTTCCCCAGCTCTGACATATGCCTATGTTCTAAGGCCCCTCCCAGTTCTGACATCTGACATCTGATATTTCATGTTCTAAGGGCCCTACATGCCATGTTCTAAGGGTCCTCTGAGCTCTGACAAACTGTGTTCTAAAGATCTTTCCCAGCTCTGACATATGTCTATGTTCTAAGACCTCTCTGAGCTCTGACATTCTGACATTCTAAGACCTCTCTGAGCTCTGA